TTTTTAGACCGATGAGCTTTGTAAAAATCGACGTGTTTCAGAAAGGCGGGGCATAGAGGAGAAACAATAATGTACAGTATGTGGAAAATAATGTGTTTTTTGAACCTTAAACCGCATAAACACATTTCATTACACCAAATACACAAAATAATGTTCTTTTTAGCAGCATCATATGACCCCTTTAATAGAAAGTGTTTAATAACTTTTTTATCTATATATTAGTCATTCTTTGTTTATAATAATTTTGCTCATGATATCGGTAAAATAAAATAAAATAAAATCTCTCTAATAAAGTAATTTTTCAAGAGGATTAAACAGAGCCAGTAATAAAATGAATTAATAAGTAGTCATATTATTTGCACTGCATGAATCATAGCTTAATACATTAATATAGATTGAACACTGTCTGACTTTGAGAAGCAGGAGGCTTGTAATTTAAATTAGCTTTACAGTTATTTCATTTAGACTTAACTATGTGTTCATGTTTGGTTTTAAAGGGCTTATTAAAATGACTAAATGAATCCATCCAAGAGCAGTGTGTGTGGGGGGGGTTCTCTTTTTTCTGCAATGTTGTTTAATGAATTTTAATGACATAATAGATTGCTGACAGATCTGTTAGGCAGATCCCATATTTTGACATCTGATTTGTCTTCTGTCTCACCTATTCATAAAGACATACCTTGCTGTGTTTAACCTAATATCATGCCAAGACAGGCATTTTGACCAAGATGTCAGGATGTATGTCTGTCAGAAGTTGTGCAAGAGGTCGAAACGCTGCAGTAATTTCCCCTTGGTGGGAGACTATTTATTTTTTTTTTTTTTTGTCCTAAGGTCCTGCTGATCATGTTTTGCTCTGACTCGGTGAAAACAAGGCTATTTTAAGGCCAATTCACACTGCACCAACAGACGGCAAAAGACATGTTCTGTGTTATGCCTGTTGCCACTGGACGGCGCATATTTCGCCAATTAAACATGTTGAATCGGTATTTGTCGGGTCTTGGAATATCTGAGAAGTGATTTACTGTAGCCTACTCGGTCAATTATTGCATTGGTCTGCGTCTGTTGGTGCGCTCTGACCTGATCTCATGATGAAAACATTCCTGTGGGAAATGTTTCGCAAAATGCAAAATACGTACCAATAAGTACATATCACTGCAGTTTCCAACAGAAATGAACACTAGAGGTGGTAAATCAGCAAGCACTTTTAATCAATTTCGTACACAGTTATGAATAAAGCTCCATACAGTATGTTTCGCTTTCCAGACGTAACAAGCTTGCTCGGTTGCTCAGCCGGCACGGAATTGGACTTGTACAAATCCCGTGAAAAACATGACTCACGATGAAAGAGCTGAAAGATGAGAGATCAAAAAAACAAGCTA